TAGGAGACAGAATACTATTGTCAGAGTTATTTAAAGGATGTATTAAGTGCTTCTTCCTGGGAATGTCCCATGTATATAAGGATTGGGTGTCTGTGTGTGTGTGGTGTGTGTGCTCCCCTGGCTGAGGGTCGGCCAGGCTGGCTCGGGGCAAGGGGGGGAAGCCCCCAGGGGGTTCCTCCGTGTGTTCCAGAACCTGCTCCAGGCTTTGGACAGGCCAGAGGGTGGAGGGGAAGGCTCAGGTGGGCAGTGCTGCAGGGGAGGTGCCTTGGGGTCAGCTGCATTGTGCCTCTGATGCTCCTGGAAGCACCTTCCCATGGCAGGGGAGACCTTTCCAGGCAGAGAGGGGTCTCCTATGGCACTTCCATCGCTCCATCACCTGCTGAGCCTCCCCTCCAGCCCCAGCTGTGCTGGATACTTTTTAAAATTTCATTCCATGATCCATGTGCTTTCTTGGCCACATCCCGTCTGGGTGGCTGCAGGAGGACTGTGGGTACTCTGTGTTGGCTTTAGGACAGGTCTGAGTTACCTTTGGAAAACTCAGCTGCTGTGCAGGACAGATGCTGTGGAAAGGTTGCAGAGGGATGAGGGCAGGAGAAGAGAAAGAGGATCAGTTAAAGTGAGCTGCTGGTTGGTCAGCGTGGAGGTGTTGGAAGAGCAGATGGCACAGAGAAGTAGAAATGTAGAGGGGAAATCCAATCCTGGTAACCAGGACACATTGGTAATGGCAGGAAAGGCAGGTGGGAGATGACAGAGAAGGTCAGAGGGAGGATCCCAGCTCAGGGGCAGGAGGTGCCTGGAGCAGGCAGAACCAGCACTTAGTGGCTGAGCCCAGGGCTGGGGCTAGGCATTGGTCAGCTTTGTGCTCTGTGCTCCAAAAAAACCCCTGATTTTCAAGCCAGAGATGTAAAACTTGGATTGGATGTTTGCCTTGGATTTTTTGTTCCTTTAGCTTCCCAGGCAGCACAGCACCAGGCTCCGCTCTGGCAGATGTCCGTGACGTATTTGGTGACAATGCCAGTGCAAGCCCCAAATCCCCAAGGCGGTAACAGGAGCAGTGGTGAGGTGTCCCAGGGACCTGGAATGTGTCCCTGCAGCTGATCATGGCACAGGGCTGGAGTCACATCCAGCTCCTGAGCTCCTTGCTCCACTCACAACTGTTCCAGCACAGGCACGTGGGTGTAGATCCAGGATCCAGCCACCCCTGAGGGCCCTGTGGGAATGTTTAGTGACTGAAATGAACCAAATGAACCAAGCAGGTCTTGGAAATCTCTTGAAGAGCTAAAAATTTCAGTTCACGACCCAGAGTTTAGTTCTCAGCTTGAGTATCCTCATTAAAAGAGGTCAGTGGTGAAGTGCAGGAGGGGCGAGCAGGGGCCCCCCATCTGCCTAGAGCAGCCCTTCCTAAGCTAAAGGGGAAGCTGTAACAAGGACACTCCCCAAATCCAGCAGGAGTTTTGTTCCCAAGTGCCTGTTCCTTACTAAGCTTGCCCTGTGTGTGTGTGTGTGACTTGATGTGTGTGACTTACCAAGTGCTTCTTCTAATCAAAGAGGAGCAGAAATGGGATCAGACAACTGCCCTCCCTCTGTCCTCCCCTGGAAGAATGGAGAGCAGCTCTGCCCCCCCCAGTTGTTTCCTGAAGAGCCCAAGCCCTCTGTGGTGGGCAGCACCCACAGCTTCCAGCACTCACGGTTCTCAGAGCAGCAGTTATTTGTTCAAGCATCCCAGGGTCCCCTCAGCGTCCCAGCTAAGGCACAGCTGCAGCCACAGGGACTCAAGTCAGGAGTTACACCCTCACAGCAATAAATCTGACTTGCAGCCCTCGCCAGTGAATCCCCCTGAATGTATATTTCTGTGTCTGTAGTCACCAAGAGATGGTTTCTTATTTATTGTCGTGAATCTCACAACGCTGCATCAGGATCAAGCTGCTTAAATGAAAAGCAAAACCCCGATCCATTAGTTCCAAGGGAGAGGGAGGGACTTCTCTAAGTGCCTTTTTTCTTTTTTTTAAAGAACAGTGATTGTGAACAAAATGCCAGTGGTTCCTGTTGGGTCAGCATTTCACTGCAAACAAAAACGGTGTGTTTTGTAACTGTGGGGATGTTTCTTAAAAACTGACAAGGTCAAATAAACACTGACTGCTACAACCTGGCTTGGGTGGTTTTGTCTCAGTCCCTGCAGCCCCTCATTGAGGGGGAAAGCAGCTCCAGCCAGGGCTGCTTCCCCACCCCATACTCATGCTTTTTGTGTCCAGAATGTTAATTAAGGTCTCCTGCACAACACAAGATACTTTCTTAAATCCTCCAGCCTCTCAGGACAGCTCTGGGCTGGCATTAGTGACATCAGCTCCTGAGGTCACCTAAAGGAGACTGGGCCAAGGCAGAGTGTGGCTCCAGGGCTCACACAAAGCTGCCCTGGCTCACCTGTGGTGGGCAATGCCCACAGAAAAGCCCCCTCCCCACTGCAGAGGTTACCTGAAGCTGAACCACAAGGAATATCCCAGTACAGGGGCTGGAACACAGCCAGGAATCCCCCCTGTGTCCAGCACTGGGAGATGTGGGGAGTGGTTACAGGAGCAACACAGATCAGGAAGCTGAAAGGGGGGAGGAGGAAGGATTTACATGATTAGGAAACAGCTGGAACCTTCCCAGGCCAGCAAGAACCACTGACCAGACAAATACTTTATTTCCTTTACGACTCAAACACTCAAACACAACAGACACTTGGTTCCCAAACACCCTGCACAGGCCAGGGGAGCCTTTCTGTCCCCTCCCCTGGTACTTCACAGTCCCATGTGCACATTGCACTTGTCTTCACCTCACTGCTGTCAGCCATTCCCAAATCCAGCTTCCCAGGCAGGGCCAAAGCAGGAGATAAAGTACTCACAGTATAGTCCAGCTTACATGGTGTCTCCCAGTTGGGTAGTGTAGTGTCTGGTGCCCATCTCACCTCAAGATGGGCTACAGAATCCCATTCCAGCTGTGCACAGCTGGGCTGGAAGGACCTGAACCTTTGAGGAGTCCCAGGAGAGACTGTCACTGTTAGTGCAACAGGCAAAACTCGGGCAGAGACGATGCCCCAAGACATGACACCAGTCTCCCAAAGGGGTTACAGGTGCATGGAGAAGGCTGGGATACCCCAGCATTCCTGCAACCAGTGCAAGTTCTGCAGATGGACCTGGAAGTCGAGTCTGGCCTTGGGGTGAACACCTGGAGTCAGCCCTGGGGGTCAGGACTGTTCATCCCCAGGGATTCCTGGCCCAGCTCTGCCATTCTGCTGCTCCACCTCCCTGTTTGCTGTTACTTCTGGTGGCAAAATAATTTCTGCTGTGAATCTCTCAAAATGCAGAAAAACCCTTGGGAATTTAAGCAGCATTTTGGGCAGGAGAGAACCCAAATTAAGTCTTTTCGGAGCTGGTAGCAGAACGAGTCAGAGCCTGGAGAGATCACGTGCTGGGAGACTCCGGGTCCAGGTAGGAGCTGGGATTCCAGGGTGCTGAAAAATAGCAACTGGATTTTCAGTACTTCATATTTCGTTCCCAATGAAGTCATCAAAAATCCCACAATTCCTGCACCTTCATGTAA